TTACAATCCGCATTAATCCATAAATAATTGTATTATTTACGTTATTTGAAATATCTTTATTTGGAAGCTGTAAGAAAAATATTTACTTTTATCTTTGAATTATCCGAATAATTTTATATGTAAGCTATGAAATCTCGATTATAAATTTTTTACAATTATAATAAATACAAACAATAAGCAACAAAATAGATATAATTAAATAAATTATTTAAAGATGATTTAATGTAAAATATATTTAAAGAAATGCTTAAAGATAAATGTGAGATGGGCAGTATGGATAGTTTATATCAAATCTTTGTAAACAATAAAACACAGAAAGTTCGTAACCGAAACGAGCTGCGAAGAAAAGCTGCGTCCCTGGCAAACGACCTCGGCGATATCCTTCCACAAGGTGGCCATGTTACATTCCCTGAAGCGGTAAAGCCCTGCCGGCTAATAAGTTTCATCCCCCGCGTAGTGAGCACCAATTATGAACTTGCTCCGGCCATAATTAAAAAATGTAATTTCGCCGCCAGAGCTCCTCGATCTTCCCTTAACACCTTAACGATCTCTTACCCCGTTTCTCCTCGGAGGTATATATGCATGGAAGAGTATAACGGATTGAAATATTCACTCTTACGAACTCTCTAAGTAACCCTCTATATCTATGCCACCATTTTGTCTTATTCCTTTTTATCGTATCGATTAAAATCTGATCCTACACTCTCCGTGTAATATTCCCATAAAATATATAATATCCATACCTATCTAATTATATATTATACAGCTTAGAAAAATAATCATATATATATATATGTACTGTATCATATACTGTAATTATGATTCGTTTCAAGAATAATAGGGTAATCCGTCATAATTTTTAATTATCGCATGACTTAAAAATTTAACGATTATTTAACGATGCTAGTGATCTCCGAGCAGCGCATTCACAGTATCCTTCGTCTCTTCCGTCGGATTTTCCTCAACGCGAAATGAAAGAGCCGACACTTTGACTTTCGTCGTGCTTAAGCGGCAATTAAAACGAGTGACAAGTGCCGGAATTAGAACGAAATTAGGCGTGCCACTCAAGAAGCTTGTCTAGGATTCTCTCACCGATCGAGCACATCACTTCGAAAAGCACTTCAAGGACCGGCAGCAGTCGAGCCCAGCTCTTCCTGCTTCCTGCTCCTTTAATTTTTTCAACTTCTCCCACCAGCATAAAAAAGGTACGACAGTCACGTCGCGTTGTGTCGCTTCGTTGAACACTTCCGTATAGAAAAAGTTTTTCCCGTATCGCTTATCGTGACGTGCAGATGCGGACGAGACTCTTTTCCTTTCTTTCTACGGTTCTACTTACACGATATTTTACTTACGACGCAATCAAAGCACAAATATTGCCATTAAAGATCACTTAGCACTCAGGTCTTAAGTCTTAGAGAATCAGATTTGGAAATTAGAAATGTGACATCACATTTATAACGTATGAAGTTTTAATCAAATATTATGTGTTTTAATTAAATGTAATATTGTAGCATCTTAATCACATTTTTTGAAATTACTTTTCCCAACTAATCAACCAATTTTTCTTTAATTATAATCTCAGGCAATTCCCTTTTTACAAGTTTACATGGAGAATGCCGAGCATTTAAATTAGTGTAACGTCAAAAGAGCGTAACACAATAACGCTTGCGCTTTGAAACTTCGTCGTATCTGACTTCTATTTCAACAACTTTCTGTTTCTCTTTTCATGTACGTGCACGTTCGAAAATTTTCAAATTCTTCGTGGCGAATCGCAAATCCGGGACGAACCAGGAAATGAAATTTAATGTCTCTAATTTCGCGCGATCATCCCTTAATTTAATCAAAACACCCGGAACCTCCCGTCTTTCCCCAATGCCCCTCGTTCACCCCGACGGTTAGCGTCGTTATTCCCCCGCCTGCGGAATAAACGGAGCAGCCGATTTCGTTAACTCGGTTATGAACTCGGCGCCGTATTACGCACGGAGAATACACACCCCGATTCATCCTTCTCCACCCTTCCATTCCTCTCCATCCTCCTTCTCCCCTTTCGCTTCGCAAAACCCCGGCGGGTTATGATGGCGGCTATGAACAGGTACGCCATTAGCGCGGAAATTATATTATAATTAGGAGCGTGGGAGAGAGCGCAAAGGACTTCAGGAAACTTGCTATTTCACGCATAAATCTCTTCTTCACCGCATCGAACGGAACAATATTGTTCCCGAGGGTTGCGAAATTTTACGAGTCCTGAAGAAAACTACTTTAGGAATTTGGAGTGACGAGAAAACTTTGAAAATCGATCAACGAGGAACAAACCTAGCATATTTTATCTTGTAATATGATTATTTATATCATTAGCTCCGATTTAATTAGGTAATAGTGTTATATTATTGTAACTAATTATTAAGCAAATATGAACGTTACACGATGGCAAATGCCTGGTTAATGATTGCTAGTGCTTGACGATAGCTCCAATTAATAATCATCCAAGTCAAAAGAAAGTCAAAGTGATGATTTTTTTCTGTTACAAAATTTATTTACTATTTAACTGTTGTTAAAAATCAAAATTAAGTCATTTTCATTTTTCAATAAAAACTCTTATATATTCTCATTGAACACAGCGCCTTTGCGGTCACAGTATTAAGATGTTGAACTACTGTCTTAATATACATTCAATAAAATTGAATTAATATTTCAGACATAAATTGAGAGCCGATGAAATTATCGGGTTCACCCAATCAATCTGAAACAAATAATATTAAATGAAACAAATAATCTTATATATTCCTTGTACAATTACACAATATTACAACCTGTTATTGTAGTTTCATGTTGTATGTAATCGTTGAATCATTGCAATTTATCTTAGTGAGAATTTGAACTTTCTTCATCGAGATATCCGAGCATACAATCGGTTCTTCATTCTCTATCCCGAGATTCCGATCTGATTTTTTTTCTACCGATAATATTCCGTTGCAGAAAAACCGATCGTCCGATCGTCGAGTATCTCGTCCGGAGAAGCATCATCGCGCGGATGGAGAGGATCGTCATTGCTGGCAGCCAGATGTATCTACTTGACTTCTAGAAAGAATGATTAAATTGCGTCGAACGAAGGCCGACGTTCGACACAAAAATCTCAGTGAATGACGAGCGATGATGGTCGTTACCTATACCAATTCGACCCTACATTAGTGACGATCTGACGATAGACTCTTTTTGTTCTCCCAATTAACACGATCTCACTAA